GTAGAGAAGCGTGATTTGTGACTCTGTGATCAATTCTCAGTGGCCAGCCACTGTTTTAAAACACAGTCGAAAAACCCCCATAGCAACAGAATTACACATGCTGGGTCCATCTATATCTGCTGTCACAGGGGTCAATACTGGGTTGCCAGATACCAGATTATTTTCACAGGAGCTTTCAGCCTTTAAGTCTATTAATTATTAAGTCAGTGGGTTGTAAGATTTGGGCTTCTTTGGAAGATGTGTGAGCTAAGCCTTGTCAGTGACAGGAAACAAGCACAAGAGGGTCATGGCTAGCTTCCCTTCCTCAGACACATGGCAGGATGAGGTTGTGCGTGCTCCCTTCCTTTATCTGAGAGTTGCACATGTCTGGTCAACACCCTGCCTTCAGCAGAGCTCTTTTACATCTCTTTGCTCAAGTGTCCCAGCTAATTTCATGTGACCCAGCATGAGGCCTGGGGTTTACACAGCAGGCAGGGCCTTTGAGTGCTTGCACTTCTGAATGTCTAGGTTGAATGGCCTTGAATCTGGTTTTCAGGAAGCCTTGAGGCTTCAAACGGTGTTCCAGAAGAGCCTTGCCACTGTGGGTATTTCCCACAGAAGTATTAAAGGAAAACAGAACTCTTCATGATTAGTCTCATCTGCATAACAGAGGCCGTTCACTTGATGGTTTCTCCACTGGATTCAGTGATGTAACAGAACTGCTAAAATTTATCCTTCAGATAAATAAATAAAGGGAGCCACATTTCCCTCCGTTTATTGTTCAGTAATAAATTAACATTTTGTTCAGGAGCAGAGAGTACTGATGAGAACAGGTCCTGTGAAAGTGGCATGCCTGTAACAGAGGATGAAGAATGGAGAAAAAAACAAATGCCTCCTGTCTGTGCCTGGCACCATGTCTTCTCTTTGCCCTCATGGCAGGCATGTGATGCTGAGAAGGAAGAAAGAGGCCACTGCGCTGCACTGTGAATTCAAAAGGTCAGTGCTGTCATGGGGAGTAGGAGATGGAGGCTAGGAGTGTTGCTTGTAAGTCCCAGAAAACCCATGCCTGAAGCTTTTCCTCATTTGCAGTATTTTAATTTCAATTTCCACTCATGTGCTGTTTTTCTGTGGATTATGGCATCTGCTAATATCCAATATTTTCCCCATGAACATTTACAAACAGACTAGTCAGGTGTCTCAAATCAGCTCTAGTCATCTTGAAAAATTAAAAAGTCTTCCAGTTTCTTACTTCAAGATATATTTTCTGTACATAAAATTATGGTTTCTTGCTGAACCACCTGTATTTTTTTAATGTCCTTTCTGAAGTATGGACATGAAAAAGGACATGATCAGTAATCATCACATTAATATCATAGCCAGAAATTAAGGTCACTTCATTATGTACCTTTGCTATTCCTTTTTACACCTGCAGTTATGCCATCTTACCTCTCAGTGTTATGGAAGAGAGACCAAGCTGTATGCAGTTTTGGTATTTATCCTGTAAGAGCAAATGTGCTATCACTGATCTCAGAAATTAACATATGTAAATTATTCCAGCTACTTTCCTTCAGAGCTTTTCTCTAATTTGTTGTTTTATATTTATACCTAAAAGCAGATGGAACTGCACTCAGGAGATAACTCATCAGCCACTGTAGCTGAAAAGACTAATGCCAGTGTAGCTCTGTAGGCCTTCTGACAGTTTCCTGAACTTGATGTTTTTGTAAAGAGGGAGAAGTGGTCATAATAACGCAAATAGTTATTGCCATGTCTCAAGAAGAAGCATCTGTCTGACTTAAGCCTATGATTGTCTAAGAGTTATTTCTGTCCTTCTGATTTTCATCCTGTTGATGTAATTGTAGATGCTGTTGTATCTCATAATAGCAATGAGTTCACAAATGGGATTTGGTGACAAAGGACACAAAGAGGCAGAGATACTCATGGGTGACTTCACCTTGGTCTTCCACGGTAAGATTTGCCTCAGGAATCTAAAGCCTCAGAGACCCATGGGAAAGTCAGAAGCAGTGAAAACTTATCCTAAAGAAGGGCAGGCTTGGAGGGGAGGGGGAAAGGCTTCCTGAAGGCTGAAAAAAGTACATGTTGGTCCTGTCTTTGAGAAGAGCAAGAAGGAAGGAGGATCTGGGGAGCTACAGGCCAGTCACCCTCACTTTGATGCCTAGGAAGGTGATAGAATAAATAATCCTGGTAAACATTTCCAAACACATGAAGGACAAAGAAGGTGGCTGGAAGTAGTTAGCATGAATTTACAAAGACAAAATTATACTGAGCTAACCTGATTACCTTCTATGATGAGATTACTTGCTTGGTGGATGAGGGGAAAGCAATGAATGTTGTTTATATTGACTTTGGCAAGGCTTTTGACAGGCTCCCATAACATCCCCGTAGACAGACTAGCTAAAAGGACAACGAAGTGTCCTTTAAAAATGAGGGAACTTCTGGGCTTAAAGGGTTGTGGTCGGTGACATGAAGTCCAGCTGGACATCATCCATTTGTGGCATGCCCAGTTAATTGTATATGGCATTAAAAACACCTTTTTTTTTTCATGCTTCTAATTTAAATAGGAACACTTTCCTCACCGACTCCTTGGTACTGAAAAAGGCGTTTGGTGATAACCTTCATATGTGAGCACTTCTGAGCACCAGAAGCACCTCTAGGGTGAATGCTTAATGAGGTTGTCATTGTTTGTCAACAGAAACTCTGGTCACAGCAGATGCTCTGCTGACACAACTGAAGGCACATGCTGACTTCTTTGCTGTGGTGCTTAGGAAAATGCTATAGCCTTATATTGCTCCGTACAGACAGCCTGTAACATAATCAGCACGCACATTTAAGGAGTGTGGTGAACAGTAGTGAAAGCGTTGCTCAGCTGGCAAGTGCTCCCACAAACTGTGTCACAACTTCCCAACAAAATCCCGTATCTGGAAAGAACAACGTGCTGCAGGACATGTGTCATGAAAATGTTTCACTGTTAAGGAGAAGTCATACATTTGGGAAAAGAGCCTTGTTCTTGTTATGAGAAATTGAAATCACTTTTATTATTCTGTTTGAATGTGGGACACTGAATAGCATTTCCCAGTAGATGGATCAAGAGACCTAACTCAGCAAATGCTGCAAATGCAAGCAGAAGATTTCCTTTGGTTGTAGAGATAAGGAGGTTTCTTGGAACTATCACTAGTATTACAGCATCTACAGTAGGGCTTTTGCTGGCCTTGATAGCCACCAGAAATGGGAGGAGTGGGGCTGACACCTCTGACTTACACAGCTGTGTCAACCAGACTTTAGCTACATCCATGAAGATCACTTGATATGAAGTGAAGAGACTCATATTCCATAAGTATTTCTATTAAATTCAAAGGTCTTAAGGTAGACCACTAATCATAACCTAAATCCCAGGCCCAAGCTGAATTCCGTAGGACAACCTCTCATTTGAGGTATAATTTACTTAGGAGTGATGATATCCATTCCCATTTGATTACAGTAGATTTCAAATGCTAATTATAAATAATCACATCAATTAATAATTAAGGGGACTCTGACCTTCCTTGGCTTATGAGAGAGTCTGTCTGTGCTGATAAATAAAATGGACCAAGCCCAATCTCTGTGCCTGCAAGGCAAGGGGCAAAGTGTTGCTCACATGTAGCATCCGTTTAGATGCCATATGTGAGCTTCAAGGGGTTTCACTCATACTGCAGATTGGAAACAGTCTGGTGCTGTCCTCTGACATGTACTCTGACTACCTGCTGGAGTACTAGCTGGCTAGGTTGTACATGTGAGTGTGATACTAATTAAAGAGTATGGACCATAGCATGGTAGACCTTATGGACATGGAGTGGTCCAGCTTGGTTTACTACAGGGCTTACTGTTACAAAAAAGGTCTTTAGATTTTATTTTAACAGGGCAAAACCTGTTGTATATTATCCATTTTGAGTTGATATTCCTGTAAATTACATCCAAGTCCCACATACTGTAAAATAAAATGAGATTCTCTCCATGGAAGTTGTAAGCAGTCTCACAGGGTGTAACAGAACTTCTGTTGCTACGGAACACTGGCACAGGTTGCGCAGGTTGTGGAGTCTCTGTCCTTGGAGGCATTAAAAATCCAACTGGACACTGGCCAGTGCAGCCTGCCTTGGCTAAGCCTGCTTGAGCAGGAGTTGGACTATAGGACCTCAAGAAGTCCCTGCTGACCTCCACCACTCTCTTATTCTGTGGTGCTGTACACTACTGGGTATACTACAGAGTATCTTCCCTTTCAAGATCTTAAGGGACTTCAAAAATTGTGGTGATTAAATACTTTGATGGTCATAAGCTTTGTTAAAGCTCATTTATGTAAGACAAAGGCATAGAAAAACAGAATCAGAGATGAAGTAAATCCTATCCAAGTTACACACCAGAATTTTGATTATGATCTCACAATGGCTTTGTAGTGGTAAAATTCTACTGACTTCAGCAGAGCTGTCCTTAATACTACTACTACTACAGGGAGAAACAGGCTGTAGAGTAGATGCCTCAGAGACAAGTGGCAGAGTACCACAGCCTACACTGACTTGTCATTTACAGCAAGTTGACTTCAGACAGTAAATACAGGGGACTCAGTCCTATGACCGTCATTAGCATTTGTTACCATCAAAGCATGGTGAAATTTGACCATTTTCCACCCAGCCTGTATTTGTGCTTGAGATTGCCCCAACCCAGGTGCAGACCCTTGCACTTGGCCTTGTTGAACTGCATGCGGTTTGCATGAGCCCACCTCTCAAAGCCTGTCAAGGCCCCTCTGGATGACATCCCTTCCCTCCAGTGTGTTGACCTCACCACACACTTTGGTGTCATCAGCAAACTTGCTGAGGGTGCACTCAGTCCCACTGTCCACGTTGCCAACAAAGATGTTAAATAGCACCAGTCCAAGTACCGACCCTTGGGGAACACCACTAATCACAGGTCTCCATCTGGACATCAAGCCATTGATCACCACTCTGAGTGCAACCACCCAGCCAGTTCCTTACCCAGCAGTTGGTCCATCCATTGAATCCACATAATTTCGGTTTTGGTACCAGGATGTCGTGTGGAGCAGTGTTGAGGGCTTTGCACAGGTCCAGATAGATGACATTGATTACTTTGCCTTTGTCCACTGATGCCATGACCCCATTGTAGAAGGCCACCAAATTAGGCAGGCAGGATTTACCTTTGTTGAAGCCATGTTGTCTGTCACCAATCACCTCTTTGCTTTTCACATGCCTTACTGGAGCCTTCAGGAGGATCTGCTCCATGATCTTGCTGGCCACAAAGGTGAGACTGACTGTTTTATAGTTCCCTGGGTATTCCTTTTATCCCTTCATAAAAATGGGAGTTATGTTTCCCCTTTTCTAGTCAGTGGGAATTTCTCCAAACTGCCAAGACTTTTCATATGTGATGGACAGAGACTTTGCAAATTTGTTGGCCAGTTCCTTCAGGAGCTGTGGGTGAATCCCATCAGATCCCGTGGACTTGTGCACCTTCATATATTCATGGACCTCCCACAGTGGGGAGATTGTCCTTTTCACAGTCCATACCTTCACCTTCTCTAACTTGGATATTGTGGCCAGAGCCTTTGCTGGTGAACGCTGAGGCAAAGTAGTCATTGAGTACTTCAGCCTTCTCTATGTCTTGCATGGCCAGGTCTCCAGTTTCCTTCTGAAGTGGGCCCACAGTTTCCCTCATCTTCCTCTTATTGCTGACATGCCTGTAGAAACCTTTCTGGTTATTCTTAACATCCTTGGCCAGGTCCAACTCTGTCTGTGCCTTCCTTACCCTATCCTTTGCTTCTCTGACAGCTTGTCTGTACTCCCCCCAGGATACCTGGCCCCGCTTCTGCTCTCTGTATAAGTCCTGAAACTCCTTTTCCTCCTTAGGGAGAGGGGTCAGGACATTGCATTTTTTTAACCCTGATTAACTGGCTTTTTTGGCTGGGTGCCCAGACCCTATTCAAATAAGCACACTGCCACTGCTATATGAAAAAAATAAGAGGTACATCATTAAATTAAAAAAAAACAACTATAACCCAAGGGCATTTTTTGTATTTTCTGGGCTTTCCTCAAATTTTTGTGTTGGATTGAAATCTTGCAACAAATTTTGAACCTGAAAAGTGTTTCTAAACCATCTGGTAGTAACTAGCTTTGAATCCCAATTTAATCTTTATTTAAAGAAAAACTTAATAACTTTCCTGCCCAACTGCACCATCTACAGGCAAAAAAAACCCCCATGTTGTTGAGATTACAAAATGTTAGAACTGCATTAAGCACTTTCTGTAATCATTGCAATTAATAAACGAAAATGGAATTTTCCAATTTGAATATACTATGAGGGTTTTATGCCTTTTGTGTTTCAAATTACATTTCGTATGACTTTAAGTGCCTTGTACACTTTGGCCATGGAATTTTGCTTCTGTGGAACTTGTGTTAACTTGCATCTTATTATGGGTCAACAGAAAACAAGAAGGGCTGGGACCAATACTGCATTGTAAGAGTTCAGTGGGATATAGATAAATGCTGCTGCATTTTTCAGCCATCACACACGTTTTTCTGAAGATACCTACGTAGGGATTATGGTTAATGTCAACTCAGTTGTCACCACTGTGCCTTTCTCGCATGTAATTCCTCCCTACCTTGAGTTAAAGATATTCTGAAAATGACCTAGAAAATGCTGCCTCTTTCCTGCAGCAAATAAAACCTTGCTAAATATTCTCATTTATCGTTATGATAAAATGGGAAGGGAAAATGTAATGCCTGAGCCTGCAAAATATGCACTAGTTTCGCAATGCTGTTAAAAAAGTCGATTATTAGCATGTGAGGCCATAATAGATGTACATCTGTGGTTATTGGCTTGTATCTAACATGCACGTGCAGTTTGGGTGTCCATATTTCAGCAATGATATAGGGTAAATACGATGTGAAACTGATGGATCAAATCTCATTACTTGCCTTCCTCCTTTTTAGGAGGAAAGCAGATCCTCTTCTGTTTTCTCGGTTTTTCTCCTTCCTGTGCTCACGCACGTTTTAAAAAAATATATCCAGGGGTAAACTAAAGTTAAATATAATCCTTAAAAATGGTAGGTAGGTATATGCATTATGTCAAGAAAATACAAGATTTTTAAGTTATATTGTTCAGATAAGAGAACAAGGGGCTAAATTCAAGATCATTTCTCTGCTTGTATTTCAGTATCGTGTATGTGCCTTTGCTGGGAGACTGTGGAGGGAGAATGTTATTTGTCGCAGTGTGTATGCAGCACTCAGTAAGGCATGCATCCTGACTACAGTCTTTTTGCACTAACATAATGAAGACTTCCAAAAATACTGCATGGTTTTGGTCTGTTTTTCTGCGTCCTTGCCTAGCAAATTGTCTATTATTTTGCATTTTGATTTGTGCCTACCTGTTTGTCCCCATTTCCTAAGCTGCTCTGCAGCAGTGACAGTTTTTGTTGTTAAAAGAGTTGGCATGTTTTACCCCTGTTGTCCAGATTTAAGCAAAGGCAGAAGCCACTTCCATATGTTGTTTGGGGAGTGCTTTGGGATCCTTCAGGTGAAAACTGTGATACAGGATACCATTCATTCCCTTTTTCTCCACAGCATACACAATGTGAAATAGGTTTTGCTTTCATCTTGAGCTCCCCTCACTAAATTGTCAAACAGCTCAGTAATACCATGAACGTTTGCTGCAGGCATAGTCATAATCAGTGTTTTGAGAGCTCCATCCTTACAAAAGGATGGCTATTCTCCAGGCACACAATTGACTCTTTTACTACCAACTGCCTTTTTATTCTTACTGTCCTCAATAGCTTCTCTTAAAATTTCCCTTGAATTTCCTTGTTTCAGTCTAATCCTCTGGATCTCATTCAGGTCCCATTTCCCATTTGTCATGTCAGTTGACCTGCAGTACATTGTAAAGTCTGTGCTGATTCTGTATCCTGAGCAAAAAGGACCAGCATAAGGGTACTTCTTTGGACTTCTGAGTCCTGTGTCTTTCTTTTTTCCACTGTGTTTAGATGGCACAGTCTCTTCCCCTTCAGGCAGAGCACTGTGAGGAAATCAGCTTCTCCAGGCTACCTAAGCAGCACCTCATTCTCTTTTCAGAAAGAAAGAGGCAAAACACAATTGCTTTTCTGAGCCCTTCTGCCCAGCTCGGTGGGAAAGGGAATAATTAGCTTCATTAAACTATGGGGCCAGCAGCCCCTTGCCTTCTCTGCAGTCCCTTTAGCTCACCCTGCAGAATCAGACCTGCAGCCAGCCCCACCTCAAAGACAGCTGGGCAGGCAAGCAGCTCCCAGCTGTGGCCACATTGCTGCTCCTGCTCTTTCTCATGAGCTGCCGTGGCACCCACCCAAGGCCCTTGGAGAGCTCATGTGGTAAATGCAGAACATGGCAGGACCTTTCCTCATGCTCCCCCCTTTTAATTTCTTGTTATTTTAGCTCAATTATTTTTGCTGCCATGTTTCTGGACCATCTTACGTTCAACTGCAGAATACTTCTTTTCACCCTGACACCCTGCTGTCAGGTGGTAATACATTGCTCACCCAAGCAAGAACTTGTCAAGAAAATCAATGAGTTGCACTGTCCCTTTGGGGTCAGGTAAACAAGTCTGGTGGAATTTGTTAAATGAGGTGTGTGGGGTTACACTGTCATGTGGGAAAAAAGATAGGAATAAATAAATGGCTATAAACATTTGATTTCCTGGTCTTTGAAACTGATCCACCTGAATCACTGTGCCTGGTGCCAGATTTGACAGAAAGACACCTTTCTTTACCCCCCATTACTTTCCTAAGCCTACATTTGGGCTGCAGTGTAGCAGACTGATATATTCCATGGCACAGAATCTAGCTTCCCTCACTTAATGTTCTTGTAGACTGGGACTATGTCGATAGGAGCCAGTGACAGTGTCACGATGTAAAAATAAATGTGTGTCTGATCAAAAGGAGCCCTTGTCTTTCTTTCCCCACATCTCAGAACAGACCTCAAAATGCAGAACCATTTTGATATATAAAAAACGTTTGATACTTAATCAGAACAGAAATGTGGTATGTGAAAAAACATGGACATATATCTGAGCTGAGCTTTGAGAGACATTAATAATGAATCATAGAATCACAGAATCCTAGGGGTTGGAAGGGACCTCGAAAGATTATCCAGTCCAACCCCCCTGCCAGAGCAGGGTCACCCAGAGCACATCACACAGGAACTTGTCCAGGTGGGTTTTGAATGTCTCCAGGGAAGGAGACTCCACAACCTCTCTGGGCAGCCTGTTCCAGGGCTCTGTCATTCTCACAGTGAAGAAGTTTTTTCTGATGTTTACCTGGAACCTCCTATGTTTTGGTTTGCACCCACTGCCCCTTGTCCTATCATTAGACATCACTGAAAAAAGGCTGGCTCTGTCCTCCCGACACTCACCCTTAATGTAGTTGTAAACATTGATGAGGTCACCCCTCAGTTTCCTCCAAGCTAAAGAGACCCAGCTCCCTCAGCCTTTCCTCATAAGGGAGATGTTCCACTCCATCATCTTTATGGCTCTGTGCTGGACTCTTTCAAGCAGTTCCCTGTCCTTATACACCCCAGGATGCCATTGGCCTTCTTGGCCACAAGAGCACATTGCTGGCTCATGATCATCCTCCTGTCCGCCAGGACCCCCAGGTCCCTTTCTCCTACACTGCTCTCCAGCAGGTCAGCCCCCAACCTGTACTGGTACATGAGGTTGTTCTTCCCCAGATGCAAGGCTCTACACTTGCCCTTGTTGAATTTCATCAAGTTTCTCCCTGCCCAACTCTCCAGCCTGTCCAGGTGTCACTGAATGGCAGCACAGCCTTCTGGTGTGTCAGCCACTCCTCCCAGTTTAGTGTCATCAGCAAACCTGCTGAGGGCACACTCTGCTCCCTCATCCAGGTCGTTGATGAAAATATTGAATGGTACCAGTCCCAGTACTGACCCCTGAGGGACTCCACTAGTCACAGACCTCCAACTAGATTCTGTCCCATTCTTCCTTTCAACCAGTTCATGATCCACCTCACTACCTGACCATCAAGAGGACACTTCCTCAGTTCATCTACGAGGATGCTGTGGGAGACAGTGTCAAATGCTTTACTGAAATCAAGATAAACCACATCTACCACCCTACC